CGGGTCCCGAGCGGGCCTGGGCTTCAGCTCGGGCGTCGCGGACGCGGGGGCGCGCGCAGGGCTTCCGCGGGGGCGGGGTGAGCCCCGCGTGGGGCCTCAGGGAAGCGAACGCCGGTGTAACCGCAACCACACGAGCCGAAGTCCCCCCTCGTCGGGCTTCCTCGCTCCAAAGGCTTGTCTCCATCTTCCCCGGGCGCACGCCTGTAACCCCAGCCCTTGGGAGGCTGAGGCAGGAGGATGGCCACGAGTTCAGGCCAGCCTGGGCTACATAGTGAGTTCGAGGCCAGCCGGAACTGCATAGCGAGACCCTGTCTCAACAAACACGACAAAACTAGTTGGAACAAGTTACACAGCAGTCCCTGGAAGCCCCAGGAAGCGGTGGGATAAACACAAAGGGGTTTATGCTTCCGACTCTCTTGGGGTAGTTTGGGGTCGGGCTGGAAGCGCGGGGGCCGGCCGGAGGGGCCCGTGACTTGGCCGGCGGAGGTCGCAGCCCTCCTCTTCACCTCCGGCTGCCTTCCCGCACCCCCAGTGGGCTGGGACAACTTACTTAAGCGTCCTCCAGGCCGTCGCTCAGTGGCCTTGGCTGGGGGGCGGCCACTGACCACTCCAACGCGAGCGCAGCCGCCCGGCTCCGCCCCTGAGGAGGATCCGCCGCCTGCACCTGGAGTGGCTAAGATCAGGAAGGGGGGTCAGGGAGCCTGATTTTCGTGCCACACGTTCATAGCAAACTTTCAGGAGCCTCCCTGGCTTCTGCCCTGCCCCTCGCTGACACGGACTGTAGCCAGCACTGAAGCCGCAGCCCCCAGCCACTTGACTGAGTCTGGGGGAGCGCTGTCCTGTGGTCCGGCCCCTGTGTGCCCGGGCTCGCCCTGGAGTTATTTCTCAGGCAGTGTGGGCTCCAAAAATCCTGTAAGTCGGCCTGGGATTTTCCTCCTGAGAAGTGCGCACGGAACAATAAACGGTAAGAGCTGGTGGCCCTGACGAGCTCCGGAGACCAGCGAGGAGCGGCCGGCAGGCAGCGATCGGCCGCAGAACTGCACTTGGCCAGTTCCTGGTTTCCATCAGAGTGGAACAAAGAACCCTGGGCTGCTGGCAACGCTTTGAACTATAGGTTTCTTGGATTTGAGGAGCCCACAGAACTTTTCCCCAAAAACGTGGTGAGTTGAGACACATTAGGACAAAACTGGCTTCTGAAAAGGGTGTGAGTGTGGGTCACTGAGGGTTCTGACCCATTGTGACCTTGGTTATGGTAGCTAACACGTCCCATTGGAATTCTTTATATTTTTATTCCACTGAAGTACCAGGATTTTGTTTTCTTTGGGTTTTTTTGTCTTTTTGAGAGAGGGTCTCGCTATGCAGTTCAGGCTGGCCTTCAACACACTTTGTAGCCCAGGCTGGTCTTGAACTCGCAACAATCCTCCTGACTCAGCCTCCCAAGTGCTGGGATTACAGGCATGCACCACCATGCCCGGTTGAAGTGCCGGGATCATGACAATAATAGCAGCTCTATTGTGCATTTTATTCTTTCATATATTCATTTTTCATGTTCTCACACAGAAGCAAACATGGAGAGCAAATATAAGTGGAAAAATAGCCATAAATGCGCACTGAGGGATGTGGTGAAATTACTTTCAACAAAATAACGAAGAAACACTGTTCTTGCTTCCTAAAGGGCTTTTTAAATAAAAAGAAGTGTTTTTAATGTAGCAAGAAAATATAGCACTCTGATGATAGGAGGTGCAGGTGCGGAGTAAGGAGGAAAGAGAAAAGATTGTTTTATTTCACTGAATTCTCTCCCCCGAGTTTGAAAAACCTACCAAGTAGAAACTCCGGAGGTGTTCTGGATCCATGAGCACTTCTCACAGTTTTCGTTTAACAAATGCTTCCACGGTGCTCTCTGCCTCTCTGCAAGCACCGTTCCAAATGTTTTGCAAACGTGCAGGCGCTTAACCTCATGATGATCCTAGCAGTTCTTCCTACCTTCACTCAGGCTCCGGGCCTGCGCCCCAAATCACGCAAGGAGTGAGGCAGAGCTGGGACTGGAGCCGGAGGAACTGGTTCCAGCGCATGTCCTCTTAGCTGCCTCATGAACCCTGCCAGAGACATTTCTGAATCCAACTTTCTCAAAATCACCTTTTCTCCTACCAATTCTAACCTCTCAAGGCCTCATCAACTGCCTGCCGCAGCTCTCTTGCCGAATGTCCTGGTTTTCATGGCTTGAAATTTTGCTTGAAGTTAATTTGCAGTTAGAAAGATTTTCCTGGCTCATTTTGCAACTGGTTTCAGTGAGTCATCTGGAATTCTTCAGATTTCAGAGATTACATTCTTCTTGCTTCATAAATGTTGCAGACACATGACCGGCCTTACACTGAAATGTTAGGGTTGCTGGAAGGGACATAAATTATTTACTTAGGTCAGCTGTGGGTCTGCAATTAGTAAAATCCTTTATTTCCTTTAATCGTTTTCCTGCAGCTTCTCTCATGCACTGATTTAAATTCA